TTTATTTTAATGAAAAGACCTAGTCATTAGAATGATATCAACATCTGGAAGCAAACAAAGAAAATGATTCTAAGATAAATATGTGTATAAGGATGTCATATTCTGCTGCCTCAAAGTTCGTTTCACGTTGATGCGAGGGCAGATCTTGGGGGAAAGAATCACAAATACATGTAATAGATTTTCCAATTTCCCGTCAGAATGAATATATGGTTCAAAAAAGAGAATAAACTGTAGCTTACAGATTTCAAAATATGTCGAAATTCACGTCGCAGACTTTTAAACAGACTTACCTGAAATACCATGGCCAAAGTAGCAGGATTGGTCAGTGAGGTGAACTTTGGAATGTTACATCCTTTTACCCCGTCATCAAAGAGATTCGCTGTTTCTGGAAACATCGGACACATAGACAGTTCTCTGAATGACAAGCACTTCTGGATCTTTGCTTTCTGCTTCGGGTAATATTTTATAAATGCGAAGCACATTTCATCATGTGTTCCTTTCCCAAAGAAAGTATATTTTCGTACCCCTTCTGAGTTATAAGTGCAAGTAGTTTTTAGTTCGTCTCCGGGTTTTACGACAACAGGGACGTCAAAACTAAATGAAAACAACAATCAATTTACTCTTATTCTGAGGTCCAAAGACTATAGAAAGAATGTAAAGTGACAAATATCGAAGCAAGGAAATTAAATTTTGTTCATTAGGAAAGAAACGGATCACAAAATCATTGAGAAATTGAAGAAAACGTACATGAAAGTAGATACTAACCTTTGCTGTGCTGGGCTATTGTAAGAGTAATGGGTATCATTTGTTAAGACACCTATACGTTTTCCGTTTCTAAAATGTTCTACATTCTGTCCTTTTCCTGTGTAAAAAGAATTCATTAAATTATTCTCTTCCTTTTGTGTAGTTATAAAAGTAAAAATACAGTAATCTATTAGAAGAGAAAAACTGATTTTTTGCATCATTCTTACCGAGTAGATGCATGTGGTTGAATGCTCCAATAACATTGAGATTGTCTTCAAAGATTTTAGATGTACACTCGGAGGTACAGACTCCACTCACGGCTACCTCCGGCATCTGGGGAGGAATTTCCAAGAACATTTGGCCTACCCATAGAGTTCCAGCATCATGTTGACGGAGGGATGTAGTGTAAAATATCCTCATCCCTGAACCATCGTGGTAGTCAGATCGCTCCTGCTTGTTGGTCCAGTGCATCTAGAAAACGACCCAAACACTTCTTTTACATATATTTTAGACATTTCCCTAATCTCATGGTTTCAGAGAAGTTCGGTGTCAGTTTTTTTTTATTGCAAAACTTAAGCTAAAAATATTATTTAATGAAAAAAATTACCTGTAGAGCAATATGTCGATATCCATTCTTGCCAAACCGGAAGCCCGCGTCACGGTGCATGCATTCTCCCTGTAACCCCACCTGCCATAACCCAATCAATTCCCTACACTCGAAGGACGCCTCCATACCACATTCATAAGGCGTGTTCAATTTTGGAACAGCATCACCTGTTGATATTTATGACATACTCTGTTTAATGAACATTCAACTACAATTCTTCGGCAAAAAAGTTTTGACTTGTTTGTCTGTCTACAATAGATACGATTATCTTGTAAAGTTGAGTTTACTAATATTAATACCTTGGGAAAAATTCTTCCTTGGGGTAAGAGATATAGTACATATAATGCTTTACATTTATTTGTTCACGATTTTTCGGGGTTTATGGAGGAGTATACCTTGACAACCGTACAGTAACATATGATGCATCACGTGATCATTGTCAATGAGGGGTTTGTTAGCGACCATGTGATGGTCTCCCACTTCCGGTACTTCTACCACCATACACGTGTAAGTCGTCTTCTTGGCAGGAACTTTCCGCCGAGGAAACTTTATGTCAAAATACTGTGTTTCTGAAACAGAACGTCATCGTTTGTATATCGATGCTAATTTTATTTTTAAAATCAAACCGAAGTTTGGAAATGTACAATTCCAATTATTATGAAGCACCCGTAAAAACCAAAATAATACTTGTATTTTTATTGCTTTCGAATCTGTTCAATTTGTTGCAAGGTAAAATTAGTGTAATGTTATATCACATCCTTACCTGGATTATTTAAAGTATCGCATTCAAAATCGCTCTTTTTGCAATTCAGCCAATCATTTTTGCCTTTACATTTTTCGTCACCCAATGGCTCGCACACACCTACGAAAATCATAACCAATCAGAAAAGAACATAACCACAAACGTGTTCACGTTACAATAACTATGATTATCAATCATGAAGAGCGGGTAGTAATCAAACGATGAGTTACCTGGGTGACTAACTGGGGTGCTTGGAAATGGCTGACCTTGGCTCCATGTACAGTTTGGGTCACCCAGTTCTTCTCCATTACTCATCCCGTCCCCATCAGAATCTTCTCTACAAAGTGCTTCATTCCATGTCTACAACACAAATAACATACCTGTTGATTTCAATATCCATATTTTTGTCGACATTAAAAAATATTTAAGCATGTTTTACGAAACAAATTTCTTTCATTGAATTGTATAGTTTAAGGAGGTTTTGTTTACCATTCCAAGCGCAGCAAAGTCATTTCCGAAGGGATTTCTTTCATGTCCCCCATTAGGGTTAGCGTGACCCACTGCTGACCACGCCTTGTCATTACAAGGATGGGGTACCTTCTCTCCGTTTGGAATCTGGCTCTGAAATTGGGGGAACGAAACAACAACCCGAGCGATGTACACCACCAGGACAAATATCCATCTGTCAAAAATATTATAATATTCACATGTAATAGGTGGAAAACACTTGAACAATTCGGTAACTATTGTACAATATGGTGTAACAACTGCGATTTATCATGTTTTTTAACCATCTGCAGACACTTGGTCTGGTCTCGTCAAGGTTTAACTGTAGGCAATTCTTGAGTCTTGGTGCACCGTCGAAAGCCATAGAATACACACAAAACCTTTGCTTGCAATGATATTTTTAGTGAAATGTTTCAATTTACTTAGCTGTGTACAGAGTTTTATATCAATAAAAAAGATCGGAAAAGAAAAGCAACAATTTGAAAATAAATGCAGAAAAATCAAAGAATTAAAAAAAACTTAAGTTTACATTAAATCTATGTCAAAACACTATGAGAAACTATGAAAATGAATATCTTTATAGATAATGCATGCTGACATTTCGAATGAAAACTTTATATACGACACGGATTTTATTTATCAAATAAAAAAGTCGAGTGAATTATTATCCAATGAATAATATTTTTATTATTTTACAATGTTTATAAATGCATATACGAGAATTATTTTTGATAATTTAATTATGTAATACATACAAGTTTTATTTTATGTGTGAAAATTGTCGGCATTTTTATTAAGGTGTTGAGCATACTTCCAAAAACAATGAAATACTCCGGTGTAACGTTGAATATTGACCCGAATTGAAAATTGACCCGAGGGTCATTTTTCAACGTTGAATATTGAACCGGGGTCATTTTTCAACGTTGAATATTGAGACCAAAAGTCGTTGAATTTATACCCGGGGTCATTTTTCAACAGCTTGATATTTTTTATCTTACACCTGATGACGTCAACAAGTTGAAAATTGACCCTGTTGAATATTGACTCCACCTCAAATTTTGAACATTATTTTTAGCTTGGAAGTTGTTTTACTGGATTTATCAGAATCACTTTATTTATATTTCGGTTTCAATTTTTTTCCTTTTTCAAGAATAATAGAAATAAAAATACAGTATCACCCCGTGTAGACCCCCTATACATGTACATTTTGATCAGTGCACGGTTTTAGTTATCTTCAAGCATGACAATTTTATTGTTGACAATACTTTTCAAAATCCATGGCATCCATAAATAACTATAAAACAACGAATAGGGCATGAAACAAAAATCTTAAAAATCTGCAATCTAGAAAGTAGCCCTATATTGAGAATAAGATTATTCTTATTCTAAAACATTCTTATTCTATGGAATGTGATTCCTATTTGATTACTTGTTATTTCTATTCCATTATTTGTAATTTGTATTCGATAAATTGCTATTCCAATTCCAGGAAATGACAATATGATTCATATATCGTAAAATTTACATATTTTTTTTCTATTCGATGTCATTAATGTCTAAAACAATCGGTTGCTAGTCGCTAATTTTGTCATTCCTATTCGAAAATTTTTTTATTTGATAATTATTTGGTTTATATGCATTAAAGTTGTTGTTCGAAAACATACAAACATCCATTTCTATTCGAAAAAATACGATTCCTATTCGATAAACTTCTCATCTTATTACATAATTTTCTCTCTATGATCTCTTATGCGATGTTTTTTTTCTTTTTCAATAATTGCCATGATTGCATTCTTGGAAATATGACAAATTAAACTAGAATTGGTTGTAAACTCAATTAATAGGAATTTAAAGTTTCACATTATTATCGAATATAAATCATTTTATCACGTAGATTGACAAAACAACATTTGAAAATTTTGGGAATAAGGCACAAGTTTTCTCTCTTCAAAACCGGTCACGGTAGCCTAGTGGTAGAGCGTTCGCTTTGTGATCGGGAGGCCCGGGTTCGATTCTCGATCGCGGCGCCGCGTCATACCTAAGACGTAAACATAGGTAGTGACTGTTCCTTCGCCAAGCGCTTGGCACTAGAAGTTAAAGTCACGGGTCTTTTGATTTGACCTTGAAAACGTAGGCCTCATGTCACGGTAGGCGTTGGCACGATAAAGAACCCTCACTGCTCAATGGCCCTGAGTGCCAAGTATAGGTCTAAATTTGAAGCCCTTCACCGGCATCGGTGACGTCTCCATATGAGTGAAAAATTCTCAAGAGGGACGTTAAACAATATACAATCAATCAATCAATCAAGACTTAAAGACTAGGGATCGACATAAATAAAGCTGTTGCTGTTTAATATTAAATAAATGTGTTTCGTTTTATACATTGATGGAGTAATTATGGATGATTTAGTTATTCAGAATGCTATTTTATTTATTTGATCATGTTTCGTATCAATTTTTGACAAAAGTATCCAATATGTATTAATATAAAGTACATGTAGATCCTAATTAAAGACTTCAAGGCATTGTTACGTCTCATCATTTACGGAACATTAAAAAATATTAATACTAGTTGTAATAATATTTTTTCAGAAACATTCAGTCATATTCTATATTATCTTTAATTGAGAAATCAATACTTTTTCTGTTTTTTCAAAAAATTATCTCCATTTTGACACTTGTTCTATGAGAAAACCAGGCGGGAGGGGGGGTATCGATGTCTCTCACTTTAATGAAATTTTCTAAAAGGACTCCTGCAATATAGCATATGATCACAAGAAAAAAAACATGAAGTCAATATGCATTTCAGATTCTATAAATAGTAACTCAAGTCTTTATGCTGTTATATACTTAATCATGTGATCAAGTCAGAGAGCTTAGAATAAAAAGTGATATCACATTTTCGTGCTTAATAGGTGCTATTACCTTATTAAATAAGTGGTATCACCTATTCGAAAAGGTGATATTACTTATTTGAGTTTCTTACAACAGTCATTAATGAATGATACCTATAATATATAGATTACCAATGGAACCAAGAAAATTCGGACTACCCAGTTTTCATGCGTTTTCTACGATTTTGTTGTTGTTTACACGGTATATAAGTGAAATAAATTTATTTGTAAGCAAAAAAAAAAAAAAAAACTACAGCTGTTTGACGGGAAAAAGTGATATCACCCAATCGAATGGGCGATATCACCATTCGAATAAGTGATATCACCTTTTCGAATTGGTGATATCACAAATTCAAATTAAAAAGGTGATATCATCTTTTGGAACAGGTGATACCACTTATTCATATAGGGGATATTACTTTTTCAAGTAAATACCAAAACGGGGCCGCATACCTATGAATTAAGTCACAGTAGTGAAAACCCAATCATAAATCTGTGTTTTTATGCTGTTGAATTTTGAACCGGTTTCATGATCAAAATTCAACGACCCGGCTCAGTTTTCAACGGGTTAGGGTCTAAATTCAACACCTTTGGTCTCAGTATTCAACGTTGAAAAATGACCCCCGGGTCAATTTTCAACCTGGGTCAAAATTCAACGTTACACCGGCAATTTGATTTTTTTAAATCAATAATCTCTTGGAAACCCACTTTTAATTGAATTTCTTAAGTCAGAAAATTAATATAGAATCATGTACTTGAAGCCAGAATACCTGTGTTAAGGAATCACAAAAATTAAAAGCTGCAAACTGATCCCAGATGATTCCCAAAAGTTAAATATACAATAAATATACAATATCCAAATTATGGTCGTTCTATATGCTTTGATGTACTGTAAGAACAAATTTTTAGCATGTGCTGTGTTAACATTTATTCACACAAGTATCATAAGTATTTTCAAGATAGAATATGTAAGTTTAATAATTACTTCCGTGAAGTAATTGCAATTCAATAAATTACATGCATTGAAAACTTCGTAATTTAATTTTAATTGTAATTTGATTGCAGAAAAAGACAGAGTACTAGTATTTGTAATTTAATTAATTATTTCAATTCCCCTAATCCCATCCCCTTTTTACATGCAGTCCCGTCGATCTCAGAAGTGCTTAGGGAGGAGGGGGGTCCACTCCCCTCTTCCGAACTTTTCTTCTTAGTTAAGTCTTATGCTGCTGGTTTTATAAGAGGGTGTTGCAGTTCTTTTGTTATTTTCCCTAAATGTGTAGCAGATTAAAAGAAGAATTTTTATGTTGCAGAAACTCATATTAATTTTTTTCAAATGCAACAATATATAAAGCACAACGAGAAACAATAGTTGGAAGGTGTATATTGACTTCCAGTTTGCTATTAAATGATGTGAAAATTAGTCTTACGCCAAAATATATCAGATTTTCCCTTTTTTAAATAGGGAATCCCCATTGTTCTGAAAAAGTGCCTCCTTGAAACAAAATAATTTTGATACATACACAAAGAGGTAGGAATTTTCTTCAAAACTGCCATTTACGATTTTTGTTTCAAAGAGGCACTTTTTGAAAAACGCAAAAATTGAGTAAAAATTATTCTTCAAACGAAATGCAAAATGTGTACGTTAAAAACACTGCAAAATCATCGTGTCCGAAATGGTCTAGTGGATATGCTGGTGGGCTTCAAATAAAAGAAAAAAAAAATGCTGGTGGGCTTCGAACTAGTGTTTTTACCAGAGAATGGGTTCGAATCCTGGTATGGATCATTTTTGCATATTTTTTTTTCATATGTAATGGAAGTGCAATGAAATTATATATATTTTGAAAGAGAGAGGGAGGGGGGATGTCAAGAAGTTGATTTTAAATAACTAATCTATATATTAGAAATGCACGATTAAATTATTTTCTTTGATATGCTGTGACTTAAAACTAATGCTTTATTTAGTTTTGTCTTGGAAAATAAAGTTACTGTATTGTTTAAATAATTTATTTTTTTTACATACTGTAGTTATTGCAATTTTGGTCTCTTAGTTAGTAGCCAAGATTTGATTTGAAACAAATAAAATGTCTTGGATATAGCACCGACAGTGTGATTATGGGACGCAGTTTTATTTCATAAAAAATATTTTCGCACGATGTCTACAGAATATCTTTCAAAATGCTGCTTTAGCCATTGTGCTTTTTGTTGTTCCAACCTTTTTCGTGCAAAATGACGAAAGTGTTTTGCTGTATCAAGCAGATAATACCCGCCGTAAACATTGTCCTCTACGTAGCTGTATCTATATTTAGACATAACGAGGGTATTTAAATGTCCTCGATATATAGGGAATAATCGCGAGTTTCTGAAACACCCTCTTTAATTTAAAAAGAGAATTTTCAATAATATGCTTTTTTGTTGTATGGTCAATCACAATTAACATCACTGTGGCGAAAAAATACCAAAGGTTTTAAGAAACATCCAATCCTCCCTACTCCCTCCTTTCAAATTTCGATTTATTATTTGGGGTGGTGGTGTTTTGTATTTTTGTGCTTGTCTTTTTTTTTTGGGGGGGGGGGGGGTGTCTTTCACAAATTATTATTTCTGGCCTGACCTGTGATTTAAAATAAAAATACACTTATACCCCTACAGAATCTTTTAAATTTTAGTATCTTTTGTGTACAAGACATCAATTTATATTATTGTTTAAAAAGACAAAAGTACTATTATAAAAAAAACATGAAAATAAAGGAAATATACTTTTAAATCATCATAGTTATTTTAATAAAAATTTACCCACCTTTTACAAAAGAGATCCATGTTTAAGTGACGTACGGAAGTAACTGAGAAACAGCTGTTCGTGTGCAGCCCTAGGGCTGGTCATAATTGTGACCTAACGGGGTTACATATAAGTCTGTAAAACCCTAGTCAATGAAAATAGTCATCAAAGGTTTACATGTGTAATACCCGTTTAGTTGTGTATCTCGAGCTGTTCATCTGATACATACTTTGTATAACGAATACGTGTAGGTTGATATTGTTTTTTCAAAAAAGGAATGGTTTATGCTAAAAATCAAGGATAAAAAAGTGAAAAACTTAAAATACATGTATTTACTTTTTAGTAATTAGTTTTAATAGTTCATTTTAATTTTACCAGAAGCAGCGATATGTACATTATGCATTAATCATTTATTTAGAAATATGCATATGACGAATGTTTCTAACCAGTAAGAAAAACCAAAAGAACAAAGACATTCCATTCTAACTGTGGATGAACATAAATCCTTTAAACTGTGCATATATTTAATACTGTAATTTACTTGTTATAATGAAGCCTAAGGGGATAAACCGTTTTCTTGCTTCGTTTTTTACTTAACACATTAAAAGCGTAAAAATTACATCTTTTATAAGATTAATGATTGTAACAATTTTCCAATAAAGAGCATGGACATTTTATATGTAAAATTAGGACATGAAAATGATGTATATTCTAGGTATGATTTCACTTATAAAAGCCGTCTAAAATATATTGTAAGTATGATATTGTCATTACTCCTATATTTTTCTTGCCATTGATATATAACACATGATATATTTTTGCAAAATTATCTCTGCACAATCATACAGAAGAATTTTCCAGTGCTTCGTGTCAGAGAAACATCAGTATCGAGCGCGACGTTTAACAAATACATGTAAATTATTTGACAAACGAGATTGCGCCAGCGCTTTGATTCCGATATAACCTACATAATTATGGTGTTAAATCTCCTAATTTAATTGCTACTCAGGCGCATGCCCAGAGTATCATCAATTTGTATACTGATAGAAGCTACTTACAGTTAAGTTGATGTTACAGGAATTTTCTTAAAATCTACGGTCATTATTGTGACCTTGTAAATATTGTGACCTTATTCCCTGAGAGACAGTGTAGAAAATGGGAAAAATTCTGTACCATCGATTCTACGTAAGAAAGAACTTTCTGAACAAGCCGGTGAACGTTTAATAAAATTGATAAATAAATGTATTTTGATAATGCACACTCACAACAAATAATTATATTATACAATATACAATTATATTAAACAAACTACAAATTAAGTACAAAATACAATAAGCAAAATTAAATGCAAATGATGAAATTAAATGTCTACACCTTGCAGCCTACCAGTCTATATTTTTATTGTTTATCTGTACGAGTCTCAATATGGTTTCAGTCCAAGATACCAAGCCCAATAAAAGGCCTGAAACAAACAGAATGAAAACGGAAATATGTATCTAGATAAAATGTCTATATTACTGACACTATTTCCGGATGTGATATCAGCGGACGCAACCATGTCATATCGGAACCGGAAGTTCCCTATTAGACATTTACAAAATAAAAACAGGCATCTACTTTGAGTCTTTCTTGGCAATTTCGACAGATTAACCCCATTTTGGTTTTCTTTTGTGTCTTCTGTCTGAAAAAAATAACGAAATTTGAAGTATCGAAAAATAATTTTCAGGATACCATTTTACTAAGCGCATGAAAAAGAGAAAACAGGCTTCTTTAAATATGAATTGGAATTCTCGAAAAGCGGCTTAACACTTACTGTTACATCTTCATCGTCTGAGGTGCTACCTTCCTTAGGAATGATTTTGGTGAAGTAATTGACGGCAGCGTACTGTATAATGGCAGCCAGATTGTAACATATACAGACGTTCAGAAAAACGTCAAGAGCTGTGGCGTATGGAACCCTGGGTAGACCATCTCTCTGAATCAGACCCACTGCTGCAGTGGACAAGATGGTCGTCACCCCTGTTGTTGTTAACAAAAAATGAATTTGGATTGTTCTTGTATGTAAATAGGTGACATAGTCAAATTGGTGAAATAGGTAGTATTGGTCTTGACTTACCTAGAAGAACCCTTGCTGGCGCAGCATCTCGATTTATCCAAAAAGACACCCAAGACAAGCAGACGATCAGTGTGCAAGGGAGGTAAGTCTGGAAAGAGGGGGGAGGGGTTTAATGTGATAGACAAACATGAAATAAAAATATAAATCTTCATACGAAGAGCAGTTACTCTAACAAACCTGCAGCATGAAAAATCCAATATGCCTCTTCAGATGGAAATACACTTCAAGGCCAGAGTACGTCCCTGTGAAACGAAGCACAAAAATAATATTTGAACCCGGATTTCAGATAATATTAATGCTATTATAGTAAATTAAACAAAGTAACATCAATGAACATGTAATGACTGGGACAATGAATCTCTACTTTCATACCAACAGAACTGGAATAAGTAGTGTTCTTTGCCAGGATAGAAGCAATGTCAAACTGAGACATAGTGACGTCATCATAAATTTCGACTCCTGATTTGTTGTTCGCTGGCCATCTGTAAATAATTTCATCTGTCGTGTATCCATCTACAAAATGTAGGAGACATTGAAATCAAACAGAATGATTCAAATTCAAATTAAGTTTCAACTGACAGGCTTTGCTTACATCCTCCAAACAGAAGAGGGCAAACAGGAGCATCCATTGGATAGTCCAGGAGATTCAGAGGACATTTGGCATTAATAGTTAACCTAAAGAAAGAACAAGGTGACAGCAATTATTTGTGCTCGCCCAGAATGAATTTAACTTTCAAATCTAGTAAATTTCTACGTACATTTTTGTTAATTCGAGACTTGAATTACATGGCAATACAATGTAAGTCTGTCAAATTATAGTTTGCATTTTGTTTCGAAAGAACACAACCTTCTGATGTTGGATGTTTATGTAGGCAAAAGTTTCATGCGATGATAATTATAGGTATTAACTACACAGATCAATCTAACCGTCTGGACATGTAAATACTGCCGTCTTTTCGGATTCGAACGAATGCATTGGGAACCGTAATGTTGGGTTGAACAGACAAGCGACCATTTAGGAAGTACGTGTTGGGTTTCCAGATGTCCTTGAGGAAGGAGTTACTCAAGGTGACCTCTGTGATGTTTGGAAGGTCAAACTTCAGACGTTCATCATGCCAACTCTGTCGCAGATAGCACTGAAGGGAATAGGTCTAAAGTAGAAAAATATGACAACCTTATATTTTTGAAAACAGAACATGTTTAGATTTGATTTTTTACGAATGACAATGGTATAAAGAAACAAACCATCTCTGATTCTGTGATTGGTCCAATACTTCTGATCAGCATGTTGGTTTTTATCACCAATGGTTCACCTAAAATGGGACGATGAAACACAAGCATCATGCCTTACAAGAAGTGATCGCAATTGATCTTACGAGTTTTATTCACTTTTAAAAACGTTAACCTTGGCCATAACTTTTGAACAATAATAGCAGTAATAAAGCTTCAAGGTTAAAAGTCACTGCAACATTCTTTGACAATCAATTTTTCGAAGGAGTAGAAAAATTGTCATCATTAGTCATTTCAGAAATCTAGATTTTACTTGTAATAAAACTGCGTAGATGTAAAAAAAAAAAAAAAAAGAATGAGAAAAAAATATTCTTGAAATTTTTTAACTTTCGGGAGGGGAGGGGGGACTTCGCCACTAACGAGGGCATTCGTTTACGTCCAGAACTTAAGGACTAATTTCACAGATTAAAAGATTGTCGTATTAGGAAGGTTAGCGCCAGATTCAGTCTCCAGATGATGAGTTCCTGATTGGATTTTACAGAACTTGTCGACAGTTGATGAGAGTCAAACAGAAGGAGGCTTTCTGAGCTCTCCTGTACACAACAGAATATTGACAACCGTATAACTGTCAGATATGTCACGTCAACTCGTCTGTTATACTGTGTTGAAATTTTACATAGATGCTCCTGAGTTTTGAATGGTCAAACTGGTGTGTTCGCATTTTTATGCTGAAAATTTTGTTTGAGCAATAACTGAAATGTTGAAAAAATATATTTATACCCAATACCCATGTCCATTTTTATACCCTTGTAATCGACGATTAGTTGGAATATAGTTCTTGCCCTGTACGTCCGTCCGTCTGTCGGCAAACACTTTAACCTTGCCATAACTTTGGAGTGAGTGGGGTTATGGCAATAATATTTCTCAGATTTACTCCTTGTGACAAGACCTTTATTTGAGTACTACCAAATCTGACCACTTGACTTGGATTTTTAACCTTAGAGTTTGACCGTCCAACTTCTGAAATCTTTAACCTTGGCCAAAACTTCTGAACAATTAGCACTACATGTATAGGGCTTTCATACTTCACATGTATATTCTATGTGACAAGACGTACCTTCCTTTGGATACCAACGATTTTGACCTTGACCTTTGGAGTTTGACTTGCATCTGAGAAACTTCAATCTTCGCCAATTTTTACCATACAGGGACATATCAGTGTGTCACAAACACATCTTGTTAACCATTGCTTTAAACTAAATATAGTCAAACCTTATTACTTCCAACTTGATGAGAGCGAGGAAAATAACTTCAAGGTATCCAAGGAATCGAGATGCTTAAGCTTCCAGCTCATTTTGATAGATCTTTTGAATTCGAGATACTGAAGTTAAACTGTACTTTGTGACAGATTCAAGGACATATCAAGGTCAAATAACGGTGGCTATGGTAAAGCCGGAGAAATTTAGAAATATCACTATGTTTTGTAGAAGTAAATAATTAAATGATACCTTACATTTACTTGTAAGTTCAATTTCAGGACAACAATATCTAATCAATTCTTATGAAGTTTATTTTTCATCGGTTTGTAGTAAAATATTCACCTCCGATGCCCGGTCGTACTGACTTTTCGTATTTCTGTAGAAGTTTGTCCAGTAACGATGTGACATTTCTCATGGTTGTATGGTCCTCTGAAAAGCTGATAAAACAATCAATTTTGAATTTAGAATTTTCCGGGTGGCATTCATGAATACAATTAATTTTGTGTTTCCTGTCATGCAACCAATAAATCCTAAATTTACAATATGACACCATGCCATAATGCTCAGTGAGAAAAGTATAAAAAGATACTTATTCCGCTAATATGACACTTTATTACATACTTAGTAATAAATACAGGATTTTTGCATATGCGATATGGCTGACGTCACAACACCCGTATCAGCCCTGCAGGGCTGATATGTATGGTATCACAACCCTAGTAAATTAAACCTCAAAAAACAGTACTTGTGATCATACACATTTTTGGGGGTTACATAATTCTTTAATTTTAACTTTTTGAATATAATGATAATCTAACTGATAAATAATAGATTATTTTAAAATTACGGATGGGGACATTTGAAATCGAAGTAAATGCAGAAACAAAGCGAAATTGTATGAGACAATAGACTGTGTACATTTTAAGAAGTCCGTGCATGATTATTTACTTATTTTCTTCTCAACTTAATGTGTTCTGTATTTTATTACTAAGTATGTAATAAATATAATAAAACACCCTTTTCCACATCACATCCTGATCAGCCCTCGTCATATCATGCCTTCGGCCCTCTGAGAAAAGTATAAAAAGATACAGGATGTGATATGGAAAAGAGTATGTATTATTCTCTATATATCATTATATTCTTTAAAAAAATTATAATGAAATCATTTCTTTTCCCGTTAATCATAGGACATACGGTATCAATGGGAATCTTTCTTTTTTTCTGTTCGCAAACCATTACGAGTTTTTTTTTTTTTTTTTGCTTTCATTTTTTAAATACTTTTATAACAAAACATTGCATTTTTAAATTTTTCTTCATTCAGTATAAAAATCCAAAAAAATTATTTAAAAAGATGCACCAATTTTATAAATCAATTTTTAAATGCAACAATAATCTCATACAAAATGACGTGTATCAATAGAAAACAATGTTTATAATCTCTTCTGATTTAAAACAATGCAATACTTGCCAAATACGAACACATAAAAGCGTCCATATTTTCACCACGTCCATCCTTTTTCAATTTAGGACAACAGGCTATTGGTTTAGAGTGTTTGTCGCTGAATACGCTAATAGTGATCGCCTTATTAGCTCCAAACGGAAGCATTCTCGCAGAATGAGGCGATACGGGGCCAGTCAATGGATACAGAAGTAATCTGGATGCCGCTTCAATAGATTGCTTTTTGCTAAATTGGCTATTTGTGAGAATATTGGTCTTATTTGCAGTTTAATGGTTTGTTCATTTTATCATAAATCATTTTTTCCCCTTTTTATTTTTTCACTTTCTGTATCAATAACTGGTTTTCTTTATTCCCAATAATCTCTGCATCATCCTTGTATACAAATTAGAAATGCTATCGCAATTTCCAATAAAAACTCCTCACTATGGACCAACGTAATAAATAATATTTTGTATGATGTCCAGCAAAGTTCCTATACTTTGTGCATACATAAACAATATATGCAATTTCGTGCTATTTTACAGTAAATGTACATATATCGTAATTTACAAAATCTCTTAAATTATTGGCAAAATCATTTACTAGCCATCCCCGTTTTCAAATCAGTATGTTTACTTGTAATGCAATTTAATGCATCTCTGGACATCCATTATATATACTAACTAAAGAAGAAAGAGGCCGTACAAGGCAAGGATAACAGTGGAACGGACAACTTCGAAATGGACATTTTTCCGAACTTGCGCACCCCTTTCCTTTAAAGCTATCCTCTTGGGATTTTTTTTAAAAATGGTGGGGTTTTTTCACCTAAATCCCCCGCTCTAGACAATATTTTTGAAGTTTAGTTTTTATTTTTCAAAAATTATGTTTTCAGTCAAGAAAAAAATGATGCTATTGATAATACTATATTTTAGAAAAATATAACTTTTCTTGAACTTTTTTAAGGTAAAAAAAAACTTTTTTCAAAGCAGGGGAGTGTCCTCCTCTAGTATGCTTCCATTCCTTGGACTTGTTGTATAAAGACTTAAAAAAATTTTAAATATCAATATCAATATTTATAACTGAGATTTATTTACAAATGACTGTACACAGTACAATGGAATCTGCCAATGATCAATTCATCAAATCAAAGTCGTCTCTCTGGAAAAAAAAATAAAGGAACCAATCAGTCTAGCTTTAACTCCTTTCAGTAAAACACTTTTCTCAAAGAAATATGCTTGTAATAGGTTTCTGACAGAAAAATATCTTATCTCAATTTGTGTTTATATGTATAATGCTTGATTATATATCATAATCTTATGGTTAATCATACACACCATTTCATTATAGTCCAGTACATGTTTTCTAATGGCTGAAGTATCTGTCCAAGTAACAAAGTCCTCCATGTTTCTGTAAATAAATTACAAACTGGCATGTTAGTTTTTTTTTTCAATTTTCAGGTAAATTAATTCTTTTTCTGGGGCCATCCCCCTTTTCAAAAACCATTTTACCTCCCCGTTTCCATTACTTTGACAAAGTTTTTTTTTGAGTACAAGCTGTATAATATCACAGATATACTTGCCTTGTAACTAAAAAAGCTGGATCTTTGACAACTTCAGGACCTACCCTAATATCTACAAGTCAATAAGGAATCAATTTTGATTTTGTAAAATATAATGGTTAAGTATTGTCAGCTTATGGATCCACTCCTCTAAAGGCTATATACATGTATCTGTATGTACATTATTCCATGTATTACATTCATTACTAAAGGATACATTATTCCATGTATTACCATTAACATTACTAAAGGATAAAATTGTCGTTTATTGTTTACAAATTTATTCTCTTAATTGTGAATTTTAAATGCAATATGCTAAATAATGATTAAACTGAATAAATCAAAGTACTCAGCTGAGAGCCGGGCTCATTTACAGAGTAAAATGAATTTCTTACTGAAACATACGTTTATATTGTATTAACAGATAAATAACAAGAATAACAGATTAAAAATTCTGATGAAAAAATTATTTTAAAACTAACAATATAAATCATAAGACACTGACAGTGAGTTTTTGATCCAAATACCACGGACCGATTCTCAAAATTAATCTGGTACTAAATGTAAACAAACAGACCATAAAACTGTCTAGAATCCTTATTAAACTATGTTCTTTGACTTAAGACTTAGTTTTCAAAGTCTTAATGTTTATTTATTTAGTGAATTTTAAATGTAATATGCTAAATAATGATTGAACTGGAAAAAAAAAATGGTTTTCTTTTGCATTCAGAAGGAGTTATCCTTCTTTGAATCTTAATTACCTGCAGAAGGATGTGGCATTCACTTTGTCAGCGAGTTCTAGACTTCTCTTTGTCTCTATAAGACCCATATTATACCTGTAAAATATAATGTCTATATATAAATACAGTGAAACCATTATCTATTACAGATAAAAATTTAATGCTTCTAATTAATCTCACACATACTGCTCAATGTACATGTACATGTAAAGATTTTTTTTGTAAAACAAATACAGATTTTTATACATGTATAAAAAAATGTAAAATTGACATCAACCTTAACACAATCAAACCAAATAAACTTCTATGATTACATTACTGCAGAGTTGTCTCTAAAAATAAAAAAAGCAATGAGCATTAAACAAGAGGCCCAGGGGCCACATTGCTCATCTGAGCAACTTGCTTGGTAAAAGCAAAGATCAGTTCAGTATTGAAAAGTTCAAATATAAAAGTGGGTTCAAGGGAGGGGGGTATTTGTACATACTTAAATACTTACTTCCTACGGATGCTTTTAAATTCATATAATACACTGTACATAAAGGTTTTGCTGTTTAATATAAGATGGCTCCTCTATTCTCCTGGTTGGTCATGACTTGAACAAATTCAAATATACACTACCTTTTTTGATGCAATTATATTGATGATTAATCATGGCTTTGTTGTTCTTTTGAAGAATTTTAAGTATTTTTCCCATGTCTTCCTACGTAAAACCTTGATCACTAATTGTGGCCCCACTCTAACCCTGGGGGTCATGACTTGAATAAACCTGAATCTACACTACCCAAGGATGCTTCCATTATCCATATAGATATGAACAATCACAGCTTTGCTGTTCTCTAAAAGAAGAATTTAAAAGATTTTTTTCTATGTGATCCTTCTTAAAACTTTGATCACCCATTATGGCTCCACACTTGCCCCAGGAGTCATGATTTGAACAAAATTGAATCTACGCTACAAGAGGATGCTTAAGAAAAACTCATTCGAGCCTTCGGCTCAGGTGAGCTAAAAAGTAGGAGGGAGTTAATGTTCCATCGTTCCCTAACAGGGTATTGAGGGGGAATAACCAGATGGGATTCTGTAATTATAGGCAAGCAAATTTTCAGTCCACAGGTCTTAGAGTTGTCCTGCATTATACCTATACACAATCAGACGTATAACACATTTACTGGTATATTTATCTCTTACAATATTTGTACAGTATCAAGTTTTCTTGTTCAGTAGCTATTTTGCCAAACTTAACTTATATGTTGCATGCAGAACAATGTTCAGTAAAATCCATTTGTTTTGTAATAAACTGTTCATTATGAGCAGTGAAAGTCAAGACACATTCACATATTTCAGATAGGCTTTCCAGATGTCCACTACTTAGGTTAATATATTTGTTTTACTCTGAGTGGTCATTGAACACTGGGTGGTGTCAGACAAAGGAATTCTACACAATGTCAGGTGGTGCTGACCCCATACAATACAAGGACCATATGATAAGGTGATAAAAGCTGGCTCCATCCACATCACTCCCTATCTACCAAATGGGAGTGACACCCATATACAAAAACACTTATCGCAAAAATCGGCATCCGAACAGCATCAACACAAAAACAGTAGCTGAAAGTGATCACCATGGGAAAACGTCACAACCTCGTGGACCCCACTCACAAACCATGGTATTCCTTCTGTCGTCACGACATCTGGCTTCCGTCAGCCAATAGGCAGGCTTCTTCCAGACTCGGTGACTTTTTAAACATTTACAATGTTTTTAACATGTGTGCAGTAAGATTTATGTTTTCTGCTCCATCAAAAACGGTAACATGTCAAGCACTTTCTGACAACTTTCAAGGCTATCATAAACAGTGAGGGGCCACTCAAGGACAGACATCTTACACGCTTCCGTGGTATCTGTCCCTGCTGGAGCCAAAAAAATAGCTACCATTACCCTCCCGTTTAGTCTTTTGTCTTTGTCTCTGTACTCAGATTTCCAGAACTAAAAAACTATAATCTTGATTTATGTACTTTTAATAAGCCTTTCCTGCTCATTAAAAAAAAATTTGAGAAAAATCATCTTGTTCGGAAACAAAATCCTCTGTCCTTCATTTTGGCTTCAAAATATTTCTCGCTAAATATAGAGACCAGAATCAATATATTATTGTGATAAATGGATTTTCATGTTAACAAGATGAAGAGTGATATAGTTAGGCTTATACTGATGATATATAATAAGTTATGATGAATGACTATGCTGACAAACAGCTCGCAGACTGATGACAGAGTTATCTTTCTTTACATCTACTGGCTTCCTCATACAAAGCTGTTACACTGTACTTTTCTGAAGAACTGAACTGTTCTGTACTATGAATTTAATGCACAAGAAAAAAATTCTCATGTATAATACCGCATAAGCAGAATTTTTAGCGAGGATTGAATTTTGGCATTATTGGCGAGGGTGTTGAGATTGCTAAAATTAAATACCACTAAAAATTAACTGCGTTTTATTTTCAATAACTTCTTTAGTGAGCATTTTAAAATCGCTAAAATTACTTCTCGCTAAAAATAAAATACCAGCTTATAAGGACAAATCGCTAAATTTAATTGCGTCTCCCTAAAATTTCCACTTATACGGTAATTGCATGTTGCTACCTTTGCAACTTATAAGCACAAAGTAAAGATTCTCTATACCCATTTAACCCCAGTATAATCGTAACCAATATGTAAGCTGCAAGAATATACAAAGTCTAGTGGATTAAGAAAAAGGTAAAACAAGTATTTTCACTTCTGTTGTGCATTTGTTTACAAGCTTCCTCATCAAGGTGCCAAAACAATTGTAGTTAAATGATCTATAGGCATACATAGGATTCTTCAGGAATCGTGATTACAAAATATAGGACGTTTATTGTGGAGCTATTATCAGCATAACTTATACATCACAACAAACCTGAACCCTGCAGATGAGTCAATCCCTCCATATCACGCGTCTCCTGCCTACTGCTGAGAACCAATGCACATCTGCAGTTCTTACAATCCAAACTCAATGCCAGAAAATACCCACTGATAATAACCAGTAATAGTCAATTAAAGAGTAAAAAAAAAATTATTGTATGGTGTTCTCTAATGATATATTTTAAAGAAAAAAATATGTTTGATAAAAGAGTTGTCCATGAAAAAAATTGGCTCTTTAAAGAAAAAACATGCCAAGTGATGGAACACATTTTCCAAAGAAATCTATAGAACTCAGCTAGAGTACAAAATATTATCAAAGGATGAAACCAGAATTTTTAAAGTGGGCATAAAATTAACAACACATGCTTCTTTGTATGTTACTACTACATGTATTACTACTAATCTAGTCTCCTAAACTGAAGAGCTCCAGTGTCAGCAACCCTTGGCCCCTGAAGCATGGCAGATCCCCTGCATGCTGAGATATCAACTGTTGTAATACAGCTGCTAGACACATCACAAACAAATTACATTTGACTGAAGCATGCAGAGACTGAAGGGGTTATATTTTCATAAACACCAAATAACAGCCTATTACTGAACTGTACAGCCGGGAAGAAAGTTCACATTATCTTAACTCCTCTGATTATTTTCAATGCATATACTTTGTAAGAGTACAGCTAGCTGTGTGTTCTTTAAAAAAAATATTTCAGCTATCATCAAATTTAAAGTCCATTGCCATTATAGTTCAACTTTATATCATAAATGATAAATATAAATAGTCAGTCATTTCACAGCACCACATTCACCCAATGCATTCAATTTTGATGTTCATTTAATATCTGGTTTAATTTAAGTACTATAAGAAAATCTTTTATTGTGTAACTACAGTTTATATATGCATATACAGACTACCAATTCCAACCAATTTTATCTTTTAAGAAAACAAAATACATAAAGCATCTGATTTCAATGGAAAAACAATAACTCAAACAAGAGGAAAACTTTTATAATTGAAATGACAAGAGTCTTTGAACTCTAGAGCTGTAAACAACTTTAAAAATGCTAAATAAACACATAATTATAATACATACCACATGTACCAATTTTTAAATACTTCTACGGATTTGGAGTAGGAAAAAAATTATGATCGAAGAGGTAGACATTTAATAATAAATAAAAGAAAAAAATAAAGGTAATAAGGAAGAATTTTTTTTGCTCTTGTAATGTGAAAACATTTTTAATTTCTAAAGTCCATTTTGAAACGTCCATATAACACATATGTTGGTTTTAAACCCTACCCCACTGTATATCAATGACCCCCCTCAATAGATAAATTTCTGTTTTGAGGATATTATTGGTTTTATGCTCACTTATAAACATTAACCTGTGGAATTCCATTATCATACTCAATCATGAAATCTAATTATACAACCCATATCAATCTCTTCCAAAGATTTTACAATATCATTTAACAAAATTCTTGTCTGTAAAATGCAAAGACGGTCATATGATGCCAAAAGATGACGCATCTTCTGCTATTGGCAGACTCTGTGCATTTAATAATTGCATTTATAAGATTTCTCTGCGAGAATATTCTGAGGATTTACTTAGCATCTTAACACCATGTAATATTTATTTCTGTGAGGTATTTACTGTAGTAATATAGAGCTGATGTAATCAGGCAGAATAACTTTTCTATCTCTTGGCATGAAGACGTCTTAAGTTTATCATCTGCACCCTTTGAATGAGAGGTTGATGACCATCAATAAAAATTAAACATGATTAATACAATTATACCCCTCTGTCAAACCTTTCTAAAATTTAAAAGAGAAATCCATTGTAAAATTTTCCATTGTTAATACAGTAGAAAAAGCAAAATTTTCATTCATCTGAAGAGGTATAAAGAAAATTTTTGGAGCAAAACGCTTTTATGTTCATATTCTATAAATTTTGGCCCATCAAAAATTTTCAATGAAATATAAGAATAAAGACTTGAGTAAAAATAGTACTGAAATCTTAATTAAAGTATAGTTGTTGGTCCTCATCAAAACCCGTCCGTCTATGGCAACAATACCCCGCCTTCAATCAAAATATCTTAACAGGGTCGGATTTGACGATCGCGTTATTTACCCTGTTGAATTCGACAGGTCCGTTTCTTTGTT